ATGTAAAACAGTTAAATATGTATACTTGTGTTGATTTATTATAGAGTTCTTTTTTGAGCTGCTTGACATGTTAAGCAACTCATAAACAAGTTGCTTAACATATTAAGCAGTTAAATTTGTGTAGAAGAGCATGTTTCTTTTTTGAGTTGTTTAACAAGTTAATCAACTTACAAACAATTACTTAACATTTTAAGTAGTTAAACTTGATTCTGATAAGGTTTTGGTCCTCCCTTACAAAAAATAAAAAAATTCGTCATTTTGTGAATTTCTCTCCAGATAGAATATTTGGAATCAGAAAGCTTGGTATATATCATTGTCAAGATATTGAAGTCTACTTTCAAACCAAAAAACTGATCAAAGTTTTAAGATCTGAGTAAAAAGTTACATCTATTTTCGTAGAGAGTGTTAGAGGTATTAACAAATTTCAACAACATTGACTCCTACAAACACCATATCCTTTCAATGTATTCAAAGAGAAGTAGAGAAGAATTTTTAACTTTTGAGCAAAGCTTAAACAATCTTCATTGAAAACATCTTTTATATGAACAAAATCTCATTTTTCTTCCATTGATTATAACCAAGATATGAATCAAGTGAAGAAAAAAAAAAAGTAAAGTTGTAAACATCTTGTTGTTGTGAATAAGAAGAAAAAAAAAATTGAATCTTGAGAAATAAATAAATCTAATAGATCTTCTTCTTCTCTACCAATACATAAATCAAATAGATCTTGAGAAAGATGTTGTTGTGAAGAAGAGAAAAAAACTTTCCATTGTATATTTTTGCCAAAGAGAGAGATCTTTCTTCTCAAAAACCACCAATCCAAAAAACAAAAAAAAACTCCTCACAATTTCACAAAGGTATTTATGGCATTATAAAAGTTTCATCACATATTTTTGTCTTAGAAACAAAGGTTTTTTTGTAAAATTGAACTTCTACTATGTAAAACACAAAACCCATGTTCTTAGCGCAACATAACATATCTATATCTGAAAGTTTAAATCCTAAGAAACTCTGATGGATGGACTTGGGAAGAGTTTTTAGTACTATTTACTATCTTAATTTCCTCTCTTTCTTCAATCTGACATCAACTTTGATTGATTGCAAAGAGTTTTTTTAAGAGCATATTCTAACACTGCCCATAGTTCTTTACACTCAAGCTAACACAGTGGTATTAATAACACAAATAAAACAGTCCTGCAGCAACAAAATGTACACCTTAATAAGAAAAAAAAAAAAAAAAAA